TCCCAGTCTCCCCCCAGTTTTGTTCAATAAACCTAGTTTCTATTTTTGAACATACGTGTCTTTTGTTTGACATGAGGAAGGGGAGCTAGGGAGGGGCTAGGGTAAGTGGAAGGACGTGAGGGAGGACCGGGGAGGCTCTGAGGGGTGGACAGTCTCCCGCAGGGCCTCCTGGATTCTGAAAGCCCCCCGATGGATCCCCAGATGGCAGCCTGCCGCAAGTACAGCCGGGCTGATGGCAACGACCCCATGAGACACACCGGCGTGACCAGGGGCAGCTCAGGCTCCATGTGGCCAAGTGCCGTGGTGTCCCGAGTGCGGACACTCAGGACACTCCAAGACAGGGATGCTTTGCTTTCCCTCATCGAGGTAGACAAGCAAGCGGGGAACTCTGAGAACTGTCCAGGGTGGGGGTAGGGTATCTTTAAGCACGGAGCTCAGTTAGCCTCAGGCAGCAGCCCCACACACTAAATCCTAACCTGATGTCCTGCTGGCACTGGTTCCAGCCAGCCTTAACTTCAGTTCAGTGTCCACTCAGTGTGGATGCGCTATTTTGAAATAGCAAAACACTATTTTGAAATAGTTTGTGTGTGTAGATGGGTTAATTCGAATTAACTATTTCGAATTAACGCTGTAGTGTAGATATTTCCTTTGATAGAGACAGCAGGGGAGGGGTGACTAGTCAAGTGACTACCTGACTATCAGAAAAGCTTACGCTTATCGGGTAGTCTACTAGTCGCTTACATCTCTATTATGGGCACACTAAAAAAAATTCAGAGTGGCTAACATGCGGAATTTTCTTAGCATAAAGAAACCCTGGATGAATAAAGACGTTAGTGTTGATAGATTCCAACCCTCCTCAGCAGCAGCGAGTTACCGCAGTTCATGTCATGTGAGGTTTGGAGAAGGAAATATGGGTAGTGATAGAAACGGTTCCTTTTGAAGGTGGTGTGTAGAGGTATTTTCGATGGGGGAAAAGCCTAAAAAAAGAGGTTGAGACAAAAAGACTGGAGGGGAGGGATTGAATGGAGAGGGAAAAAAAAAAAAAGAACAGACAATTTGTAATTTTAAATATTTTTGGCCATTGATCCAATTAAAAAAAGGGTAGCAGATTACCGTAATTGCAGACAAAAGAAACTAAGAAATAAGCATGAACCCTAAAAGTTTGGAATTCTTTGTTTTATTGCACAGGAAAGGTAGATTAAGTAGATTCCCTTTCACAAGTGCAAAAATTAAATTCTTAATCAAGCAAGTTCAAGTCTAACAAATGTCCAAGACTTTGATTTTTCCCCCCCTGAAAATTAGTGTTTTAGAGCAACTAAATGCCAAAAATGGCAAAGACAATTTATAGGCACATTTTTGCTAGGTATGATGAGATGCATTATTGAGGAGGGCCTCTGTCTGCAATAATATAAAGCCAATTAAAAATAAGCTTAATTTGCATTAAGTTAAAAAAATAACAAGCAGACAGCAGTATCTGTCTCTTTCTAGTATTGAAAGAATATAGTGCTTTACAACTGGACATACCCATCAAATTCCATTTTAATTCTTTAAGCAAAAACAAAAACAAAACAAAACACCTCCCCAAACTAGCAATACACACAACTAATTAATTTAAGATGTGAAAATCTTTGGCAAGGAACAGTTAGGATTTCAAAAAAGCAGGCAGGCGTCAATAATTCTTTCATTTGCTTGGAAAAAGGTGGCATATTTTGGGCAGTTTTAATCGGCATGCCTTAAAATTTTGGTCACCACCTTTCTAAGCAATAAACAGATATTTACATATTATATATAGGAGTTTACAATTTAAGTTTTTTCATTATTATCTATAAATGCACAATCAAGTTATTTGTAATTAGGTCTTTCAAAAATGATATTATAAATAACTTCAAGTACTATACATTCTCAAGTGTTCCTGCTAATTTTTTACTTTACAATCAGACTGCTGTTTTTCCAAATGTTTTATTGCCATAGAATATACAGATACTCACATAAGTAACTGATTTTTTGTTTCTCATTACACAACCACACGAAAAAAATGTTTTATCTAATCTTTCAGTAATAGTAACAGGTGACCTCACTTGTAATAAAGAGTGGTATACTCAGAGAACATTCATATTAATGAAATACCAGGATCCCTTTAAAAAGAAAGGCCTAGTAAAATTCAAATTTACCTGTTGCTTCTGGTATGCAGTGTTTGGATTAATTTTGGACTCCAAAAGAAGAGAACCTGAAGGAATTAAAAAAGAAGAAAGTTCTGTTTTACTTACAAGTGCATTATGAATTCAGTAATGAAGACTGAAAATTCTCTTTTCAATCACTAATTCACTAAATACATCTAAAAAATACAACTGAGGACTATGTTCATCACATTACCCCCAGTCCTGCAAACAGGTATAAACGTTTTATTTTACACACACAGTTTCATTGAAGTCAACACGATTCCTCCCAAGTAGGGATGTAAAATCCCATTTAATTAGTGAACAGGTTAAATTTGACCAGTTAAACAAATGAATGGGGATGGGTAGGGATGCCACAGATGGGGGCTGCTCCAGCCAGTCTGGAATACCCCTGCCCATGGAGAGCCTCAAAGAGCTGGAGCAGCCCTCTGCCTATGGTGGGTTGCTCCAACCCCCACTGGTTAACCGTAAACAGTAAGCATCACCCATTAAGGGTGATGCTTATCAGTTAACCATTCACATTCCTACTCCCAAGTAATGTTAAGACAATGCATTAGTAGGGATGTTAAATTTAGATTAATTAACTAATTGAATAGTCGACGGGATTTCCATTGACTAAACAAAGAGTCAATAAGGGAACCTCAGCCTTTGAAATGTACAATAGCCCTGTGGCTCCCCCGCTGGCCCAGTGCTCCCTGCGGCACCTGAGCCTTTGAATGTACAAAAGCCCTGGCTGGGCTCTTGTACATTTCAGAAGGAAGCCCCATAGGGAACACAGGACCAGCATGGGAGTCCCTTTCTGGCCAGCTTCCGCTTTTGAAATGTACAAGAATCCCACTAGGCTCTTGTATATTTCAAAAGCAGAAACTCAGCAGAAGTGGCGCATGTGGAGACTACTTCAGTCCCTGCTTGTGCCGTTTCCGCTGTGTCTCTACCTCCCCTGTCCCGTCGCAGAAATGGTGCTGGGGGGAACCACTTTTAATCCATCTCCCCCCAGCACTGGCTTTTGCTCGTCCCCCCTTGCTGCCTCTAATAGAGGCAGTGGGGTGGAGGGCGGAGATGCATGACTAGCCGCATCACTTCTGCTTATCAGATAGTCAACTAGTCTTTTACATCCCTATTCATTAGCATTGGGTGAAATTATCATACTGGAAAAAAATAAATGGTTCCTAAGATAGGGTTTTCAAAGCATTTACAGGTGTTCTGTGGACCCTTCAGTAGTCACATGATGCTGGCCCCTCCTTATTTCCATCTGCTAAATCTGATTAAGAAATTCTTTCTATACAGCTCCTTTTGCTTTTGATAACCCATTGTGCAGTGCCCCTTTAATTGTCATCCTTGTGAAAAGGCAACAATTCAGCATTATCAAAAGAAAATAGTCTCTTACAATATGGAGTGAGAAACATTGTCTGGGTTGTTTTTTCCCCCTTAAGCAAGGCTACTATATAAAACAATAGCTGGGAATAGTGCTTATATTGTGCAATATAAGTTAATTTGTATTAGGTGAAAGCCCATGCTGTAAGAAGGCTGGCAGCTGGGCCAAGCAACCCACCATCTGTGCTGTCTCCATCGTGCAATCAATTGAACTGTTGCATACAAATCAGTTGTAGAGTTAGGTGGTAATTTCTTGAACACCACAACAGTCTTGGACTCTTGGCATGGCATAAATACATGCCTTACTACTGTAGCTGAAAGCCCATGCTGTTGTCCTCAGTGTAATTTGTGAAGTTAAAATGGGTGTGAACTTTAAGTTTGACAGTAATGGATCACAAATCCAAACGATGATTGAATCTGGTGATAGTTTAAACAAAAAGAGCTCTCAAGAGCTTGTTGTAGCTTCCATCACTTCCCATTGGGCCCAATCCTATTCAACATATTTATAAACGATCTGGAAAAGGGGTAAACAGTGAGGTGGCAAAATTTGCAGATGATACTCAACTGCTCAAACCAAAGACCAAAACAGACTGTGAAGAGCTCCAAAAGGATCTCACAAAACTAGGTGACTGGGCAATAAAATTAATTTGCCATTTTGACGCTGGTAAATGCAAAGTAATGCACATTGGAAAAAATAATCCCCAACTATACATTAGGGCTGTCAATTGACCTGCATTAATGCCTGAATCTTGTCAAAGTGCTGCTACAGTTCAATTGGCGCACACTGCAAATTCTAGGTACACAAGCACAGTTAGCAAAACTACCCTATCCTAGGAAACCATTTTGGTTACAAAAATCTAGTGGCTCACTAATGAAGCCCACCCACTAGCATAGGTTGCCCATCACTGGTTTATATTACATGAACCTGATATACAATATGTGGGAGGGGATGAGCTAAGCCTGGGGCAGGGGCTGTGGTACAGGAGGGGATTCAGGGAAGGAGATTAGGTATAAGAGGGGGCTAAGGGCTGGAGCCGGTGTTCTCTGTAAGATGAGCTCTTGGACAGCCACCCAAGAGAGATTCAAATGCCACCTAGCTTATTGGCAGAGCATTCACAGTACCCACAGCATGTGCACTACCAGTAGAAACACATCTGCACAGGCTTTGGTACACATAATTTATTCTGTACATAGATGGGAAAAAAGTTAGAGGGAACATTGGCTGAAGCAGAAGCTTGGGATGAAGGAGGAAGTGCAGAGTCCTGGATTTTGGAAGGGGCTCAAGCAGCAGGTTGGGGTACAGTGTGTGGGCTCTGGAAGGGGCTGGGTTAGGATACTGAGGACAGAACAGCAGCAGCCAGTCCCCCAGGTT